AAAGTGCTAGTGTGTGTCTGTGTGTCTCATAGAGAGACAGTATGTGTACCTCTTTGTGTGTATGAATGAGCGTGTCTGTGTGTAATTGTTTGAATGTGTGTGTGTGTGTGTGTGTGTGTGTGTGTGTGTGTGTGTGTGTGTGTGAGAGAGAGAGAGAGAGTGTGTGAATGTGTGTGCATGCGTATGTGTATGTGAAAGAGTGTGTGCATGTGTCTGTGTGTCTATATGCCTATGTGTGTGTATGTCTAACAGACACTACAGAGGGAAAGTAAAAAAGTAGGACCCACCAGTGATGCCGTCCAACCACCCACTTCCATTTTTTTGTTGAACATTATACTCACATCTGCTTGATGGTCCCTTGCATGACCCCTGGAGGCGACTGGATCTCCATCTCCTGCAGGTAGCAGCACCAGAACAGCGATGGGGTGCAGCGCCAAGGTCGGTTCAAGGTCATCAGTGGCTGATCGTAGTTGTCCGTGATGTTCATAACGAAAGGACGGTAAATGCCACAACATTGCCTGGTACAGCAGTCCGTGTCTGGCAGACAGAAAAAAAGACAATACTTTTACAAAAGTTTCTCTCTTTTTCTTAAACACCATGTAGGTGTCTTTAGGCTCTCATCAAAACAATTTAGACCATATAGAAGCAAGGTGGGCTTCCATCCTGCCTGTCAAGACCAACCCCCAGCTGAGAGAGATACAAAGACCCAGCAGAAAGGCTGAGATAATTTATAACTTATTAAAATACTCCCTACAATAACAGGGGTATTAACTCCTGTTTTCGGCATGCGACGGTGAAGTATATGACTACTACGCCACGACACTGAACAAAGAATGCTGAGTTGCTAAACACATCGTAAGCATCACTCCACTAGGTCCTAAGCCAATATCTAAAGTTTTGAGTAAAAAACAGAAAAACAAAACATCCAGATAAGATTTACAACTTCTTGGGCACTCGCTTCTTTTCATTTTAAAAACTAGGAAGGAATAATGAAAGAGAACAAACTATTATTACAGATGCCGCTAGATGTCTTTATTTGGAATAATGGCTTTATCTGGAAACACCAAGAAACTGATTTCTTCTTTTAACCATAATATACAGACAAAACAGTGGTGCCATCTGTATGAAACCAAACATCATAACGAGGTTTTGTACTATTAAAAAAGAGAAAGAAAAAACTCTCACCTTCTATGTTTTATTTTTGTAAAAGTTTTACAGCACTTGCAACACAACTAGGTCAACACATATATAAGTGCAGTAGATCAGAAGAGCTACAAGAGAGTACCAAACACAAAAAGAGAAAGAGGAAAGATTTAGGATGATGATAGATGTTTGATAGGAAATAAGCAGCAAGCCACACCAGGGCACCCACCAACCACCCTCCTCACCTTCTTTGGCAAACATGAACTTCTGGTCCTGGTTGTTGCAGATGTTGTAGCGATTATTCCTCTCCCAGCCCACCAGAACTGGAAGAAAAAAAACATCAGCTCTTTCTCAATTTACATCACAATCCACAAAAACACCAAAACAGTAGAAAAAATAAACTAGTGAAAACTGTCCAAGACGGCCACCCATTGTCAAGGAAAAAAGTGGTCATCAAAGACACTGGGACATCTTAGACAATAGAAAATGTCCTTATAATGATCTTAATAAAAAAAGACCAGGTTCCTAGTCAAGCTGAGAGAGATTTGAATGGCCGGCTTGGACAGGTTTTTAGGGGCTGTTGGTCGTCATCGTTGCGTTAGATAGGCGGTCATATTAGACGATGTCACTACATAGAATAAATTCAACGGGCAGGTATGAAGTACTGTTTCATACCGATGGTAATTTTGGACACAGAGTGGCTATTGCAGGTTCAACTTTTAAGGAAAAGAGAGGGATAAATATAACTTGTAAAGAATTATATAGTAAGACACAGCTCTTGCCATTTAAATGGGTCCTCAACTGATTCTAAAACAGTAGTAGTAGAACTTCCAAACTATTTAAATCAAAACTTACATTTGATAAAATTTAAAAATACAATAAGTTATACCACAACATCCATTATACTACAACATCCGTTGCCATTTACCTTCAACAATCTCCAGGATTTGATGTACTCGGATCTCATCCAAGCCTGCCAGGTAAGCCAAACCTGGTGGTAGCCCAGCTGGCATGGATATCATTGGAGGCGGTCCCATCATCATTGGACCTGTTGAAAACCACAAAACACAAAAAAGTGAGCCAATCATTGTTATCAATACAAAGAAATCTTATACTTCAAAGTAAAAAAAACTTAATACATAGAATCAAATAATAATTTTTTGTCTTTTTTGTGAAGGATACCATATGAAAGCCCTTTCACACCCCATCAAGCTACAGTTTGAGTCTTTAAAATAACACCTCAATATTTTTCAGAGTTAGAGTTAGTATTTTAGGTTGAAAACTACGGAGTGCAGAACAGAGAAAAACACATTTGAAGGATGTGATTATTTTATTACTTTCCTAAACATTCTGAGAAAATATTTCACATGAAACAATAAAAAACATTTTTGTAAACTAAAAATGTAGAAATGTAAGTTTCAATGTAATAGTCATTTATTGGGACAAGAAGAGGCACATGTTTTGGGATGAAACAATTTTACGGGAGAAGCAACCCTCAGTTTGGCCGATTTTGGGTCAAGCAATGCAAATTGAGACGTTGGCTGATTTTTGAAGATCAACCAGTTCTTTGTCTAAAAATAACAAAGAGACAATTGAGAAAGTCTCTATTCTCATCGTAAATTGCCTTAGAAAACATGAGGGTGGGTTAAAATATAGAGCTACATATAGTGAATTCTCGCCATAATTGTAGTTTTTCTCAATGTCATTTTTTTGCAGTTTTTCCCCTACTCCTTCCTTAGTCTTCATCCTTTTGACATGAAGCTTTCAGGAAACATAGATCTATAGCAAGGCAGCCATAAATGTAACAGAGAGATATTAGCGAAAAGGTAACACATTTCCATTGGCAAGTGATTACGCAACCAAAATTTAGAAAAGGTCTTTAATATATACATTGGGAAAATTCTCTTTTTTTTTTCCTTTTACACTTATTGACAAAACGCGCTGTTACGTTGATAGAGACTGGTTCAGGTATGCTCTTACCAAATTTGGTCAGTAAATAAGAAAGCCTTAGAGATTTGAAATTCATTGCTTATTTTCAAGATGGCAGCCGTTTCCATAGCAACTGCTGTAGTACAAAATAAAAGTACATGTGTGTATAAATAGACTTTTATATATGCCGGTATACTTTTTTTTCTAACATTCATTTGTACTTAGATTTGATCTTGGACAACAAACATAGGAAATGGACCTTGAGGGTCGCTTTTCCTGTTAAGGTAATAAGAATAGTAATTTTTTCTTGCAAAATGAACAAACACATTATGTGTCACGACGCGGTGGAATCAGGCGCTGGTCAATTTTTTGGCTTTCAATGAAATAAGCATCAATTTATCTTGAATAGTACTCAAGATTTTTGCGAGTGAAGGAGATGATGTCGCCATTTTTCAGATTTGAAATTAGCGAGAAATTGGCCGCCGAATTTTGGTAACTCTAATAGCTAAACAGTCTTTGAAAACTGAAAAATGACACATTTTGTGCCTTTAATCAATGGTTTTCAGCAAAATTCACATGGGAAGGTAATTATGGACATTCAGTCAAAAAATAAAAATTTGATAAAAATTTCAAACGGGGAAAAATGCCTGTTTCTCCGATTTCGTTATTTTGACGAGCCCCTGATTTCACAACACTGCCTCACATATTTTCATTACATAAATTTTACTTTATTCCTCTGACACTAAACTTTGCTGGTACTTTACTTACAAGGGTTGCCCTCATTTCAATTTCATAACCCCTCTTTCAGTAACGTTGCAGTATATTAATATGGCACGATCTGAACTGTCCAGGAGGTACTTGCCACCACAGGAAAGTTAAAGAATTACATTTGGGATTCATATAGAGGGCCTCAAAAGTCAAAGAGAATGTCAGCAGCCATGCTTTGCGAAACCCAAGTTAGATAGATATAATATGCTATATACAGCCCTGCAGTATATAGCTCTTACCTGTCTACCAAAACATTTTTTTTTTAATTTCACCACAGAGGAGAAAGAGATTGGGGGGGATACAATAAATTTTTTTGCAATTTTCTACTCCTCTCCCTCAGGTCACTGTTTGGTTAAAGGTTGAAAATTTCAGCGACTTTGCAAATTGCTAGGTCAATGGTTCTGTGAGGGGAGGGGAATGAGGAGAAAACTCAAGTAGGACACTAACAATCAGCGAAATACTTTTCCAACATGCAAAGTAAGCAAAACCCCACCAGAATAATAATCATTAACCTAACTCAAGGTGACACTGCTAGGTCTTCTTAGTAAGTGACATTCTTTCTTAATACTAAAGACAGAATTTAATTTTCACTTGAACAAAAGCAGAATAATATGAAAACATCTGAATCTATTTTCTCAAAGAGGGAATGCATCATTATAATATTCACACGACATTGTGCAAACTATGGCCTATTTTTCACTATCTACGCTATGAAGTTCCAGAAGAGTACAAAAAAGAACTTCAAAGACACTGATAAAACCCAGTGTCTATTTTCAGGTGTTCCCAAGTTCAAGATAAAAAAAAAAGATCAGAGATGCTATTTTTCATACAAAGACATTGAGTTCCACCAAATACAAATTTGGTTTTCAGAACTTCTCCTCCATACACGCTTGTTAAGGATGGAGACAGCGAAACACTTCCACTTGTAATATATATATATAAATTCCCAGGCTGCATTCTTTCACTAATGATACAAAATCCTTATCAAGAGAAAGGGGAGTTGCCCCCTGAAATCTAAGATTTCAAACTTGATTCCAAATCATTTTTATCAAAAGATCAGAAAAAAAGGAATAAGAAAGGGTGGGGTTTTCTTTTGAGCCATGGTGGTGGTGGTGGGGGGGGGGGCTGGTCTTTCTTTTTAAACCCAAAGTGTAGTAGAAATTATTTTAAAACCATACTTCACAAAGTCTTTTTCAGAATTTTCAATCAACTTCAATCAAGTTGACGTAAACTTTTTTAAAAATCATAGCCTAAACTGCAAGTTAAGTTTAACTTGGGACATCGCACACATGATTTTAATCTAGGTCATTGTCACTCATGACAGCAATTTGTAAACCTGAAACAGGATGACAAAAATTTTAGACCAAAGTTCTTTCAAAAATAGTAAAATAAATTCTAAGATGACTGTCAGAGCATCATGCTACACAGTGTATCTACTCAGACATAGGCAGACTTTTAGGAAGAATGCTACACATTTTAAGTAGAAATGAATTTATTATTTTTTATCATTATATTTATTTTAAATGAAATAATTAATGTAGGCCTAGGCTAGGTGTTCAACTTCACATTTTTCTTCAGTTTTGGACACCGAGTCAAAGATCAGCAGTTCAGTCGGAAGGACTTCCCTAACGAGCGACCACCCAAACAAACACTTGTAATAGAAAAAGAAGAGACCTAACCCTAACCATACCCGAAGCCAAAATCTGACCCCTACCACAAACCCTACTAGGGCCTACCCCCATCCCCTACCCCTCTGTTTTACTCTGTCTCAAACTTAACACTTTGCAGTCACTTGGCGTAATAATGCACTCTGGTCACCTGGTGCATTTGTGCGCCATCCCGAGAGGTATGTTGCAATTGCCAGTCGCTCTCCTGGCTGGGTGACCAGATGGGGTAATTTGTAATGCTGGCTGTGTGACTGCAAAGTGCTAAAGTGAGTCAAATTAAGTGTTCCCTCGTTATGGAGGTCCTCCCGTTCATTCAATCCATTCATAAAAGTTTCTACCTGATTGACATAAATAATATAAATTCATTCACATACACATGTGACTGGTTGTTATAGGGGTCTCCTCGGGTCTAGCCTCTAGGCCAGGCCTACCTTACACTGACACTGATATTTCAGCTGGATCGAACTTTGGTGGACCCTCTGTGTATACAAATGTATCAATGCGCACTAGCCATACAACAGTGGGGGGTTTCAAAGCGGACCATCGCACAGCAAGGCTCAAAAGTAGTTCCAGCTTTGGTCAGTGTTGGGTCCACCAAAGTTCAATCTACAGGTGTCTCTTTCACCAGACGTAGAAAGCAAAATTTACAATTTATTTAAAAGCACAATCAAAGACTAATATTTAGTTGTCTAACTCTAAGGAAGCGCTAGATGTAGATCTCTTAGTCTTAGATTCTAGGCCTATATATATATATATATATATATATATATATAAATTTTAATAAGCACACCTTGTCATATCAGCGCTCTTTGGAAATTGCCTTCCTGTTTCATTGGCAGCCATTTTAAAACTGATAATTTGCCATGGTAACGTGAAGATTTGAGTGGTTTTTTGTTGTTGTTTTTTCCCTGAAACCCCCCACTGGCCACTGTTATGGCTAGTGCGCATTACTACACACGTCATGTAAACATGGTGGGTCCAACCAAAGTTCAATCCAGCCAAAATAAATTTAATAAAAAAAGGACAATGTTTTAGGCAGAAAAATATTACTGTGGTAGGGTTCACTAAAGCCTACATGACCACTTTTGTCGGCAAGCCCTTTTTTACTTTTTTGTCATTTGCAATCACTTCTGTTTCTTGTAAACAAACGGGAAGGCAATTTCCAAAGAGCCTCATCATATCAATATTATCATGAATTGGAAGTAAGCAGTTTTAGATTCATCTTAAAAAAAGGACGAAAGGGTACAGGGTAAGATTGAAGAATACCGGACCAGCGGACTGACTTTGCCTATCTATGTCTCAACCTTAGGAATTCATGATTTTCCCCAGTTTTTATTCTCAATGGAGAATCTCGGACTGGTAGATCTATTTAATTTATTAAAATTTTGTAAGGGGGGAGACCCTCCTGAACCCCAACCGCCCCACCCACCCCAACCACCTGCCCCACCCACCCCACATTCTCGCGCAATAATGTACGAGTGAAGTGATCCGAGTGATCCGTGATCCGGTGTTCTTCAATCTTCCCGGGTACAGGATAGACCATGATCTTCCAAAATAACTTTGATGCGTAGTGAATTCCCATTCATTCATATCAAATTCAAGCTAAAAAAAGGCCTACCTCCTGGATGTCCAGCCATGCCCGGCTGCACCACCACGGACTGCGGCGTCATCTGCATCGCCTGGTTATCAACTCCATACTGGGTCTGGTACTGCTGACCTTTCTGGTCTGGCTGCGAGATGACCATTCCTTGAGACATTTTGCTTGACCAGTCCAGCTAATATCTAAAAGTAAAACGCAACTCGCAACAAGCACCCTGACCACACCATACGACGATACACTGCACCACCAAACTCTGTTGTTGTGCCTCAGCCAGGCAATAGAAATCAAGAGTCGGAGCTTATCAACACTGATGATAACACCAAAATGAGGTCAATGCGCTGTTCTCGGCTTCTCGGTTCAGGCCACCCGATTATGTCACTCAACTCGTCGCCTCCTCGTCTGCTGAGCTGAACGAACTGCTGGGCTATGTCGTACTGGTCTGGTCGCCAGTCGTTCCGCACCCGGACGTGTAAGTTTGTAAACAATGAATCTATGAAGGCCAGGATTTAGTCCATGTTCAAGTGAAAGTAGTACAGAGAAATGCATCATTTGTTTTTTTACAGCAGAAAAAAAAAGAAAAAAGAAAGAATTTAATAGGATGTGTTGCTGAATAATAAATAATATTATGCTAAATGGCGTAACACATCAAATTTAGATCTATTATTCATAATAAAAGCAAAATGGTGAAAATGAGAAGACAAAATACACGCCGAAAAGCTAAAGAAAAAAGCTTAGAGCACAAAATATACACTGCAGAGGTATGTTTGTTATACAATTGATTTAAGAAGTACTGAAATATCAAACATGTCCGACAGCACTTATATATATATATATATATATATATATATATATATATATATATATATATATATATATATATATATATATATATCTTTTTCTAAAGGATCTTACTTTGAAAGAAGTTCCGCTTAAAGTTAAAGAAAGGGGAAACAGCTTAATTGGTATGAAAGAAGGCCCCACCAAAGACTTTGCTCTTACACTACCGCTTTCTAAGTCTGTTTACCTTCGTTCCTGGTAGGCAAGAAAACTGTTACACTATATATTGGCAAAGTCATGCTCTTTTCGCTTGTTCGAGATGAATCTTGCTTATTATCTATAAACAGGTTGTGCGATAATGGTTACCGGATTTTTGTTACATTTTTATTGGAGTTTTCTTTTCTTCTCCTAAAGCTCTATATGGATTAAAGTCGTCAAAACGTAAATCCGATCTCCGAGATATTTCAGGTCTATTTTTTGATGCTCCGTATTGTAGTGTTTGTCTACCTCAACTTTTTAATTAATTTTGTATCAATAAACGTCTTTTAAAACACAAATAGATCTCGAAAAATATGTGCCTATGTTAACCTACCCTCTGAGTGTATGTGATTGGTCTAATTAATGCAGATTATTTTTCTGGTCATTTTCCTTGTAAGCACCTTTGTGAACACCTCGAATTCCAAATTATCAGGCAGAATATAATGATATACAAATAAAAGTGCAGTATGCAAAAAACGCCTTAATGTTTGTTTGTTTTTTAATTATATATATTTTTTAATCTTTTGCTGCCAAGATTCACCCACACCTCTCCTTTTCCATTTTCTTGATTTGTTAGTCTCGCTATACACCAGTTGTAATTCGCTTCCGGTCAGTTCATTTTTAATCGAGAAATTCGTTAGGCAGAATTTCGGAAGGTCTATGGTGTCACAGCCGACGCCCCACGACCAGCGCCCCCGCTGGGAAACTCTCAAGAGAGAAACGGGTAGGGGGAGTAACCTGTTGAGCTGCCTGCCAGGGATGGTGTTGCGTTGACATAAATGCACTTGTAACTGGTACCATAAATGTTTCTGTAAACAAAAAAGCAGTAAATGAATTAATCAATTTATTAAAGAGGCGTAAGCATATTGTAAAATATACTCCCTTGAATACAATGCAGTTCTATTAAAAGAAAATCAGTGTCCTTATTCCTTTTTTTCTGTGGGGCAGCTAGGGAATTGAAATAAAATTAACTAGACAGAGATGTAAAATTAGGCTATTATTTTCTTGAATGAACAATGGTTTCGAATTCGGAAGTAGAAAAGTACATTTTTTTAAAGTGATATTTCATCTTTGCTTAGATACTGTGTTTGTGAGACATGGAACGCGTCACAGACTTGCATAAAGAGGATCCAGGTTTTCTTGAACGGGACCACTTGGTGTCTAGGAAAGCTACTGCAGGATCAGATGGACAGACAGGGTCACCAACGAGGAAGTGTTAAGGAAAACAAGACAGATCCCAGTCACAGGTGAGGTAGGAAGAATTAGGCGGTGGCGATGGATTGGGCATACACTTAAGAAGTCATGAGGCAGCTGCATGACAAAGAAAGTTTTGGATTGGAATCCACAGTGTAAGAGATCAAGGGGAAGACCGCGAGGTTAACGGAGAAGAATCACAGAAATCGATGTACAGAAAAGTGGGAAGACATTTAATAACATAAAGATGCTAGCCCTGGATAGAGAAAGGTGGAAGGTCTCTGTCCGTGGCCTATATATAGGCTCCCATGCAGGGTGAGAAAGGCAATGATAATGAGATACTATGTGTTGTTGTTGTTTGCGAAGCATTCTCGCACAGAAATGAAACACGTCCATACTAATATTATTATTATTATTATTATTATTATTATTATTATTATTATTATTATTAT